ACAGAGAGAGAGAGAGAGAGAGAGAGAGAGAGTGCGGGCCTCTATCCTACCACCCCCAAAAGAGTCTTTGAAAGCTTGTTGTGACATTCTGCACAGATTCAGCAAAGGGAGGAGGGGGCTGGGTGAGAGGGAGGATCAGGTTCATTGGCAAAACCCCATAAGCTCAGGAAACAAAAACGAAGCCAACCTTATCAAAACAGAAACTGATTCCGGAAAATTCAAATGCCAAAGTCCACAGGTTGGGGGCAGGAAGAAAGCAAACAGGAGCCAAGAGAGTCTGCCTATTGGTAACGTTTGTTAGGCTGAAAAGGCGCCACCAGGCGCCTTGGATTTTTGGTGCTTTTCCTACAACTTTCCAACTCAGCGGCTCTGGAGTTACTGACCCCGGGATGGAGCCCCCCTCGCCCGCTGAGTCACTTACCAGAAGGTTTGGACGGCAGCCTACTGCTGAACAGGCTCCCCCCTCCGCAGGTGCTGCTCTGCTCCTCCCCGCCAGAAAAAATGCTACTTTTCATAATTTAGTGTATTTGGCTAAAGACTGAGGCTTCATTCCTTTCAAAGGAGTCAGCGGTTTGGTTTCTTTTTGCTTTTTGTTTTAGCGGACTTAGAAATAATTCAGCTGGGCTTGGCAGCCACAGCAACGCCAGCACTTTTTCTAAAAAAGCCACACCTTTGGGCCTTTGGGAGGAGAAAGAATGGGGTCTTGTGAAAGAAAGAGCAGGAAACGGACGGGCAGGGCAGGTAGTTGGGATATTTGCCCTACTTCTGAGAAGGAAAGGGTTGAAGAGCTTCCGGTGAGGAAATGGTGAACTGACGTCCCGCGGAGAGCGGGAGACATTACGGCTAAAAACGGCAACTGGATGCTGGATCTGGACTGCCAAAATCTCTCCGGAGAAAGGAGAGGTCTTGAGATTACCCATATGTACTCTGGGCAGCTGTTTTTTGTGAGTAGACGGGAGAAACTGACATTTTTGGTTTTATTTGGTTTGGTTTTATTCTATTTTTACTGTATTTTTATACTGTTTTTATTGTATTTTAATTAATATTTATTGTAGTTTTATTGTGAACTGCCCAGTCGCTTCTTCATGAAATGGGCAGTATCTAAATTTGAAATATGTATAAATAAATAAAAATTTAGCGGGCAAACTGCTAGGAGATGCAGGATTCCATCAAACTCAGAGCTGCCAATGTAGCCTTTAGGGACTCAAAAGTTCGACCAAACCTCACTTCTTAATCACTTTAGATTTTTTTTTCTACTTCTTTTTAAAGATTGAGAACCTTCAGAACCACAAGTTGGATTGTATTCACTGGGTGAGTTTTTCTTCAATCCTTTAAGAAAGAAGTTTCAATTGCAAGTTTAAGGTCTGGGAATTTTTTTTTTTTTTTGGAATATACAGCAAAAGGGTGATTACAGTAATGATTTTAGAAAGTTTTAAATGGATTAAGAGTCCAGATGGACTTGAATTAAAATTTTGAAATTAACTGTAAGAATCCTTCCTGTGGGAAATTTTCTATGTTTACATCTGGAAAAAAAACTGATAAGATGACTTTGAAGGTTGGTCACTAGAGGGCACCAGAAGGAAACAAATACATCAGTGGATCCGTTGAGAGAGATTTATGACTATTGGGCTCAGAAAATAATTTTAAAGTTATCTGCTATGATAGAAAAGCTAGATGGTGTCATTGAAGAGGAACAACTTCCACTGAATAAAACTGAAATCAATCTGAATGTAGACTTTAAAATGACAGCCTGTAAGAAAGAGATGGAAAAAAATGAAATTGTGGATATACAAAAACTGAAATATTGGATATACAAATAAAACTGGCTGATGACTTAACAATTAAAAAAGACACGCAAGTACTAAGCCAGAAGAGTGATGTGGATAACCTCTTTATACTGGATTTACAAAAGGGACTTGTTGAAGTTGTCAACGATTTCATGAGAAGAGACAAGTGAGAATATGAATAGTAACATGGATAATTTCTTTCTGCTGGATTTACAAAAAGGACTTGTTAAAGGTGCCAACAACTTTGGGAGAAGAGACAAAAGGAGCATGAAAAGAAAACAGATGTTAGGATATTATTTGAGGGGACTAAAGATTGTTGGGAGAAAGGGTAAATAATACAAAATCGGTTTATTTGATCAAGGCTAAAATAAGTGGGTTGCTATATTTGGTAATGTTTAGGGGACTTTTGCCGACCAGGACGAGATGATTACATTTTAAAGATTTTGTTTATGTGAGGAGATGAGATCGGGGGATTTGTTTAAATAGAAAATGACATATAAATGTAAAAGGAAGGATTCAAAGGGGGTTTATTGCATACAGTTTCCAATAGTTATGTTGTTATTGCTGATAAACCTTAATGGACTTTTGCTGATTAAGATGGAGTGATGAGGTTTTAAAGATTTGTTTATAGAGAATGGGATGAGATATGGGATGAAGAGATGGTTTTATTCTAAGAGATGGTGGTAAGTTGTTAATGTTGTTTGTACTTGCTGGCGGTGCAGGGGGAGGTTTCTTCTTTTTTCTTCTGCACTTTTTCTCTCTATTTCTTCTTCTTTTTATATATTTCTACCCTATGTAGATCGCATTAGTTTTATCTGTATAACATCATCTTTAATAAAACTATCATAAAGATAAAAAGACGGAAAGGGTTGAAGTCGAACGGCTGTTTATCTGATTTATTATTTATGAAATGTGTTTCTGTGCTGCCGCACGGAACGATGCCGCGTACCACCTGCGAGGCAGCGGGCAGAACTTACTCCGGAGTGGGAAATCTGACTCAGAGAAGGCTCAGGAAGGTGCCTGCCCGCCGGCGCTCCTCTGCCGCAGCCGCCGCCTTTCCAAAAGGCTCACCGAGAAAGGAAGCGGCGTTTCGGGCGGCCTCCGGGGAAGGCTCTCCTGTCCTGTCCTGTCCTTCAGTCAGGCCAAGCTTACCTATTTGCGCACTGCTGGATTTGTTAACGGAGAGCGAGCGAAGCCGCAGCTCCAGTTCCCTCGTTTTTGCGCGTGGCTCTTTCCGCAGCCGGCGAAGAAAAGCCAAGTTGGCGGGTTGACAGGAGGGAGGCCCATCCTGGGCCGGGGGCAGAAAGCGCCAGGCCCGCCTTGCCTCTCTGTCTGTCTGTCTGTCTGTCTGTCTGTCTTCTACGGCCGCCCATCTCAAACTGCGGACTCTGCGCGGCTGGCGGTTTTAAGAGGACAAAGCACTAAACACCCCC